CCTTTCTCATTGCCCTTATTTGGAGAGAACATTGAATGCGATGTAGGAGTGTGTGTGAACAACCGTAGTCAAGTCAGATTCAAAATCCATCTTGAGTTGCACTCTACCAACCATTTGTAACCAGGTCACTCCAAACAATTGCTTCCCTGGAAATTGATGGGGCACCAACCAACCTTTGTTTGTCAAAAAATGTTTGAGCCCCCCCCCCCTTTTTTTTTTTTTTTTGAAATATGATTTTTTTTCGAAAGTGTGTAACACTTTCTAAAAATGCGTATTGTGAAAGCGCAGCTGCCTGTAACGAAGCAAAGCAACGGCGAATTACAATTCGCCGAGTACATAACGAGGGTTGGAGGCCATTCGGCCTCCACCCACGACTTCATTTCAGAACTTTGCAGTTTCACTCCAATTCTCGTCCAACCACCTCGACCGTTTCCTTGTCGCTAGAAACAATCTTCTAAGCTAATACTCACTTGCACGTTCAACCCAGGCGCTTGATTTTCCATGAAGGGCAAACTATCACGAGTGCGACTGTAACTGGCGGGCGCTCAACTGAGATCGAAGTGCGTCGGACAAAATGCCAACAGGCGCGCCAGAGACGAAATCGCCAGTGGCGCGCGCTAGGGACGAAATCGCCAATGGCGCCAGTGGCGCACGATTGGGACGAAATCGCCACTGGCGCCAGTGGCGCGCACCAGGGACGAAATCGACACTGGCGCCAGTGGCGCGCGCCAGGGACGAAATCGCCACTGGCGCAAGTGCCGCGCGCCAGGGACGAAATCGCCACACGCGCGCATGTGGCGAAATTGCCACGTGCGCCAGTGGCAAAATCGCCACCAGCGCTCGAGGGACGAAATGGCCGCTGGAGCGGCAGTTACGAAATTGCTACTGCAGCGCCTAAGTCGTTTGACTGGGCGTCATTTGTTGCCTACGTGCTGCAAGTCTTTTAAGTTTTAAGTTTTTCTTCCGTTATGATCTCTTCGATTATTTTCCATTAATCTCTATGCTCCTATTGTTACTTGGTGGCAGAAAAATAGGCTCAACACCACGGGTGTGGAAAGACATTTTTAAAGACTCTACTGGTCGCGCGGGAGAACTACATTTACGACAGGATCAACTCAACGCGCACCCAAGGACGTCTCCCAATAAAAAGAAGGGACCGAGGGTCTTCGTGTGGCCTGAGAGCCGTCCCCCAGGGGGGGAAGGGGACCGAGGGTCCCCGTGTGGCCTGAGAGCCGTCCCCCAGGGGGGGAAGGGGACCGAGGGTCCCCGTGTGGCCTGAGAGCCGTCCCCCAGAGGGGGAAGGGGACCGAGGGTCCCCGTGTGGCCTGAGAGCCGTCCCCCAGGGGGGGAAGGGGACCGAGGGTCCCCGTGTGGCCTGAGAGCCGTCCCCCAGGGGGGGAAGGGGACCGAGGGTCCCCGTGTGGCCTGAGAGCCGTCCCCCAGGGGGGGACGGGGACCGAGGGTCCCCGTGTGGCCTGAGAGCCGTCCCCCAGGGGGGCAAGGGGACCGAGGGTCCCCGTGTGGCCTGAGAGCCGTCCCCCAGGGGGGGAAGGGGACCGAGGGTCCCCGTGTGGCCTGAGAGCCGTCCCCCAGGGGAGGGAAGGGGACCGAGGGTCCTAGCGTGGCCTGAGAGCCGTCCCCCAGGGGGGAAGAGACTCGAAGGTCCACACGTTGGCCTTACCGTAAAATGGGCAAAAATTTCGAACAATGTGCTCGTTTGTATGACTGGATCATCCTTGGTTTTTGATGTACCCCATTTACTTTTTAATATGACCAATAAAGGCTGGTTGGAGCCCCACTGAAATCTCGGGAAGCAACTGTTCGAGTGCACCTCAAGTTGGTTTTAAAATCTTGACTTGAATCAAGTTGGTGTTCACACACTTTTAAACCACATTCCGTGTTTTTCCAAATAAGGGCAATGACAATGGGATCGGTTTTCGCCATCATTCTCATCCCACTTTGTTCGATAACACCCGACAGGGAAGCAAAAGCACGCGTTGAAACGACTTGCATGCTGTCACCTGAATGGGCGTTTGGGAGTAAAAGGCGGCAATTGTGTGACCGTTCCTACCCAACCAACATGACGAATACCACACTCACCCGACTACCACTTCAAACCCTTACATCCACCCACGTTGTAGTTATTCCGGCCGGAACATCAAACGACTGGAAGTGTAGGGTAAAGCAGAGCACATGGAAGCTAAATCCCAAGATAAAAGTTGTACCGTACATTGGGCGTGTAGAGTACGGGAACCACCAGTTTCAACCACTATCCTGGTGCACCAACAACCAGGGACATCCACATCAACAGCACGAGCAACCTTCGCGCACAGCACCTCGGACGCCATCGACATGGAGCCCACGACTCACCAACGCCGCCCCTCCCGGCATTTCGTCAATGTCATCAACCGCAACTACACTCACCACGTCTTCAACGTTCCAGCTGCACATGTCTCAGAAGACCCAATTGTAATGAAGCCAGTTGCCTTTGCAAGAACAGAAAGCAAGCTTTCTCAATATGAATTTTTTCGAAAGTGTGTAACACTTTCTAAAAGTGCGTATTGTGAAAGCGCAGCTGCCTGTAACGAAGCAAAGCAACGGCGAATTACAATTTGCCGAGTACATAACGAGGGTTGGAGGCCATTCGGCCTCCACCCACGACTTCATTTCAGAACTTTGCAGTTTCACTCCCCACCCACCCACCCTAGTTGTACCAATATTTGTATGATCCATAGTTGGACGAGAATGTTGTATTACTGCAATTGTAATGAAGCCAGTTGCCTTTGCAAGAACAGAAAGCAAGCTTTCTCAATCTTATCATATACGGTTACATCAATAGCCAAGGATGATCCATACTAACACACACATTGTTCGAAATTCAGCCCATCTTACGGCAAGCCCAACATGGGGACCCTCGGTCCCCTTCCCCCCCTGGGGGACGGCTCTCAGGCCACACGGGGACCCTCGGTCCCCTTCCCCCCCTGGGGGGCGGCTCTCAGGCCACACGGGGACCCTCGGTCCCCTTCCCCCCCTGGGGGACGGCTCTCAGGCCACACGGGGACCCTCGGTCCCCTTCCCCCCCTGGGGGACGGCTCTCAGGCCACACGGGGACCCTCGGTCCCCTTCCCCCCCCTGAGGGACGGCTCTCAGGCCACACGGGGACCCTCGGTCCCCTTCCCCCCCTGGGGGACGGCTCTCAGGCCACACGGGGAGACCCTCTGTCCGCTCTTTTTATTGGGAGACGTCCTTGGGTGCGCGTGCAGTTTGATCCTGTAGTCCATGTAATTTCCCCGCGCGACTAGTAGAGCCTTTTATAAAAGTCTTTCCACCACTGTAGTGTTGGGCCTGATTTTCTGCCACCAAGGGATAAGAGGAGCTTATAGATTAATAGAAAATAAACGAAGAGGACATAACGAAAATAAAACTGAAAGAAAATGACTTGCAGCACTTAGGCAACAAATGACGCCCAGTCAAACGCCTAAGGCGCTGCAGTGGCAATTTCGTCACTGCCGCGCCAGCGGCCATTTCGTCCATGGCGCGCTAGTGGCGATTTCGCCACTGGCGCACGTGGCATTTTCGCCACATGCGCGCGTGTGGCGATTTCGTCCCTGGCGCGCGCCACTTGCGCCAGTGGCGATTTCGTCCCAATCGCCTGCCACTGGCGCCAGTGGCGATTTCGTCCCTAGCGCGAGCCACTGGCGCCAGTGGCAATTTCGTCACTAGTGCGCGCCACTGGCGATTTCGTCTTTGGCGCGTCTGTTGGCGTTTCGTCCGGCGCACTTCGCTCTCAGTTGAGCGCCCGCTAAGTACAGTCGCACGCGTGATAGTGTTGCCCTTCATGAAAATCGATCGCTTGTAGGTGAGTCGTAGTAAGTAGTTCTAGTGACAGAGGAAACTTTCGAGGTGGTTGGACGAGAATGAGTGGAACTGCAAAGTTCCGAAATGAAGTCGTGGGTGGAGGCCGAATGGCCTCCAACCCTCGTTATGTACTCGGCGAATTGTAATTCGCCGTTGCTTTGCTTCGTGACAGTCAGCTGCGCTTTCAAAATACGCATTTTTAGAAAGTGTTACACACTTTCGAAAAAATTCATGTTTTGATGTGAATGCTGCTCCCCTTATTGCAAGCACTCGGGTCGGGACTCAAAGTTTCTCCGGTTTAGAGAGGGACACTGATTGAAACCTCTTATTGAATAGAACATGGCCCTCTTTGATTGAACTAAACAAGCACCTTTATTGAAAGCAACCGCACCACATACATACAAACAAGGCAAGTGAGGGGAGCCAGCCCAGCACATGTCAGGCTAGACTGACCAATGATAGTCTGGCTCCCTCCACTCTCCTTCCCTCCGGCACTAGAAGATTCTCAATCCGACCTATTTTCAGCTTGCATCGCTAGTATTGACCCTGGTATGATGGCTCCCATTCCGATGGCTGCGGGATCGTGGTGGTAGTATGGTGGTGTTAGTGGCGGGATGATTGGCGATCGTGACAATGGCGGTGGCAGTGTTAGCAGTGGTGAGGTTAGGAGAATTGTTGGTGTTGATGGCTGGAGCAGTCGATGCTGCTACAGCCAACTGCTACAGCACAATAGCCAGCTCAGCAGCATTCCCAAAGCTCTGGGCCGTCTTGCAGTCGAGCAAACCCCACGTGGCCCAACACACGTGCTACAGCTGCTGACACTACCACTGCTGTAGTTGCTGCCACAGTCACTGCTACAACAACTGCTGTAGTTGCTGCCACAGTCACTGCTACAACCACTGCTGCTATAGCGGCTGCTACATCTGCTTCTAGACGTTCTGCAGCACAATCGCCAATTCAGCGGCACTCCCAAAGCTCTGAGGAGTTTTGCAATTCGCCAATCGCTTGCAGTTAAGTAGACCCCCCGTGGCTCCACACGTGCACTGGGAGCAGCGGTCCCCCGGCTTGGGCATGCCCTCTATTCCTGCCATGTAGAATTTTGGTCCCCAGCTTGGCCCTGCTGCCCCGCATATGCCCTCTGCTCAGATGGGAGTAGGGGAGGGGAGAGGAAAGGGGGTGGTAAGAGCACTGCAAGAGCAGGTATCACTGGGAGCAGCGGTCCCCTGTGGCTTGGGCATGCCCTCTGTTCCTGCCATGTAGAATTTTGGTCCCCAGCTGGGCCCTGCTGCCCCACAGATGCCCTCTGTGCAGGTGAAGGGGGGAAGGCAGGGCGGAAGGGTGTGTGGGTGTGTGAGCATGGGTGTGTGAGCATGGGTGTGTGGCTAAGGCATTCACGCATGTGTATGGCATGGGTTTGTGGGCATGCAGGTATGGGTATGTGGCAAATGATGCGCCTATGGGGCTAGTGATACGCCATCGGGAGGGTGGTAACCGGGTAACTTACGGATGCCAGAGAAGACGCACACGCCCTTGTCCACAGGCAGACCCTTCTTGTCCTTGCCGCCTCCTCTTATCTTGGTAATCACACACCTGCCATGTGTAAGAGGGGCATGAGGGGTCGAGGGGACAAGGGATGTTGGGACGAAGGGAAGGGCAGGAGCAGGCGTAAATGGTTGGTGCAGAGAAATGACAATGGATCAGAATGGCTGACAGGGAGCATTGAGAGAAAGCCATGGGAGCTGGAGAGCACGAGAGGGAATGCAAATAGATGAGGATTCAATAAAATGGGCAGGAGATGGGTTGGGAATGATATGTAATGAGATGTGTCGTCATGAGGGATTCGATCAAATCGATCCGATATGATTTGATTGCATACATGTTTTGCTCTTCCGGGCAGCGAAACTTTCGCACGGGTTGCCCGTTGTAGTCAACGTAGCAGGCGGGCAGCGAGGAGCAGGAACAGACTGCCCGGTTGGGGCCGGGCATTTTCCTCCGGTAGGTGCAGTCACACGTCTTGCAGAGCGCGTTGCCCTGCACGCCCTTTGTGCCCACCGCGTATGGTGTGCCGGCATAGCGACAGAAGGAGCCTCCTGATAGGTGAAAGGGGAGAGGCGGCAGTGGGAGAAGGGATGTAGGGCGGGATGGAGAGAGGGTGAGCATGTTCCTCCGGTAGGTGCAGTCACACGCCTTGCACAGCGCGTTGCCCTCTATGCCTTTGGTTCCGACGGCATACGGTGTACCAGCATAGCGACAAAAGGAACCCCCTGGTGGTAGGAGGGGAACAGGAGGTGGTGGGAGAGGTGAAGAGAGAGTGAGCATTTTCCTCCGGTAGGTGCAGTCACACGTCTTGCAGAGCGCGTTGCCCTCTATGCCCTTAGCTCCCACAGCGTATGGCGTGCCCGCATAGCGACAGAAGGAGCCTCCTGGTGTGTGGTGGGAAAGGGGGAGGGGATTGGGAGACAAGAGATTGAGAATTGCCCTGCTGAAAGAGAGAGCTCCCTTGCACGCCCTTAGTGCCCACCGCGTATGGCGTGCCGGCATAGCGACAGGAGGAGCCTCCTGGTGGTGGGAGAGGGGATGGAGGGAAGGGATGGGAAGGCAAGGCAGTGAGACGCCAGGAGGAGAGAACTACCTTTCACGCCCTGCACGCCCTTTGTACCCACCGCGTAAGGTGGAGCCTCCTGGTGGTGGGAGAGGGGATGGCAGCGGGATGGGGAGGGAGGAAGGAAGGTGGAGGGAAGGCAAGGAAGTGAGAGCGCGTTGCCCTGCACGCCACGGTAGGGGGCGTGGTTGATAGCGGGGGAGATGGGCGGGAGAGGGGATGGACGAGAGAAAGGGGATGGGCGGGAGAGGGGGATGGGCGGGAGAAAGGGGATGGGCGGGAGAGGGGGATGGGCGGGAGAAAGGGGATGGGCGGGAGAGGGGGGACTGCAAATAGGGGAAGGGGAAGAAGCAGGTGGGTAGCAGACCGGGTGGACGAACATAGGGATACGGGGAGACGAAAGCAGGGATATGAGGGGACGAAAGCCGTTACGGAAAGAGCAGGTGGCGGAAAGTCGAGCCAGCAGGGGAACGGGGGGGAAGGAAGGGGAAAAGGGAAGGGCAGGCGGGGAAGGGGGGAGTAGGCGGGGACATGGGGAGGCGGCGGGGGAAAGAGGTGGGGAGGTGCGCGTGCTGGTGTAGGCTAGTGGTGGGGGAGGCGCGGGGGAGGCTCGTACTGGTGTAGGTGGAGTTGCAGCGGCCGACGTACTACGTTTCTAACGGCGCGCAGGCAAGGGACGGCGGAGAGCAAGAGGGGGAAAGGGGAGGGCGGGTGGGGGAAAGAGGGAGGCGCGTACTGGTGTAGGTGGAGTTGCAGCGGCCGACGTACTACGTTTCTAACGGCGCGCAGGCAAGGGACGGCGGAGAGCAAGAGGGGGAAAGGGGAGGGCGGGTGGGGGAAAGAGGGAGGCGCGTACTGGTGTAGGTGGAGTTGCAGCGGCCGACGTACTACGTTTCTAACGGCGCGCAGGCAAGGGACGGCGGAGAGCAAGAGGGGGAAAGGGGAGGGCGGGTGGGGGAAAGAGGGAGGCGCGTACTGGTGTAGGTGGAGTTGCAGCGGCCGACGTACTACGTTTCTAACGGCGCGCAGGCAAGGGACGGCGGAGAGCAAGAGGGGGAAAGGGGAGGGCGGGTGGGGGAAAGAGGGAGGCGCGTACTGGTGTAGGTGGAGTTGCAGCGGCCGACGTACTACGTTTCTAACGGCGCGCAGGCAAGGGACGGCGGAGAGCAAGAGGGGGAAAGGGGAGGGCGGGTGGGGGGAAGAGGGAGGCGCGTACTGGTGTAGGTGGAGTTGCAGCGGCCGACGTACTTGGCTTGTGGCGCCGTCGGCACCTGAGTCACCACGCAGCTGCGAGGAGACGGGAGGGGGGAATGCGCGGAGAGTGACGGGGAAAGAGGAGCAACAGGGAATCAAGCAAGGAGTGAGCAAGCGCGCCGAGTCACAAGTGCTCGCTTGAGGCGCTGTCGGCACCTGAGTCACCACGCAACTGCGGGAGAGAGGAGGAAGTGAAGTGTGAGAGACGGGGGCGGGAGAAGAAACAGGGGAGTGAGTAAGCGCGCCGAGTCACTCGCGCCGCACTTTGCGTGCTGACGGCACCTGAGTCACCACGCAGCTGCGGGGAGACGCGCGGGGACGAACGGGGAGAGACGGGCGGGAAGACAAGCAGGGAGTGAGCAAGCGCGCGGAGTCACTAGCGTCCCTACCCCCGAGTTACTTGCACGCGGAATAAACGCGCGGAAGCGCTCGCGCGACGGAGAAGCAGAGCGGAACGAAGGGGGACGAAGCGGAAGGAAGTGAGACGGAGCACGACGGCGCGACGGAGCTGAACGGAGCGACGACCCGTCTGCGCTGATTGCGGCAGACGGGAACGGAACGGGGTAAAGCAGACAGCCGACTTTTAAGGCGCCTCAAAAGGTCGTCTCTTATCCCGCATTTTCGAGGCGCCTCGAAAAACGTAGCGACGACCCGTCTGCGCTGATTGCGGCAGACGGGAAGGGAACGGGGTAGAGCCGACAGCCGACCCCCTTGCGCCCTGACACGCGCGCGCATTCACTTGCGCCCAGTCGTGGGCGCGCATTCATTTGCGCCCAGTCGCGGGCGCGCATTTGCACCCAGTCGCGGGCGCGCATTCACTTGCGCCCAGTCCCGGGCGCGCATTTGCGCCCAGTCGCGGGTGCGCATTCGCTTGCGCCTAGTCGCGGGCGCGGATTCACTTGCGCCCAGTCAAGCGCGCGCACTCACTTGCGCTTGTTTCCGCGGCAGAAGGGGTAAACGGGCCGCCGCTCGCTGTCCAGGTAACACGTGGCGCCGTCTGGGAGCGATGCGGACCCCGATGACGCGATGCTGTGGGCACCTGGGGATGAGCGAGGAGTGGGCGCAATGGGGGAGAAATGAGAGGTTAGGAGAAGGGAAAAAAGGGGGGAAGTCTGAGTCGACTCAAGAGGACCTGGACGAGGCGATGCCGTGGGCACCCGGGAATGCAGGAGGAGGCGGGCGGACGGAAGCGGGGGGAAAGGGGGGGAACTTCTGAGCGCGATGGGCAGCAGCGTCAACTCGAAAGGTTCTAACGAGGCACATGTAAGGTTGGAATGCGCCGGAGGGGCGCATTCGAGGGAGCGAGTGAGCGGGGGAGGCACACCCGAGGGAGCGAGTGAGTGGGGGAGGCACACCCGAGGGAGCGAGGGAGCGGGGGAGGCGCACACCCGAGGGGGCGGGAATACGCGCACCTGAACGAGCAGGGGATGCGCGCACCTGAACGAGCAGGGGATGCGCGCACCTGAACGAGCAGGGGATGCGCGCACCTGAGAAAGCGGCGAGGAGGACTAGAACGGGTAGTAGCAGCCGGCGGGTCATGGTTGCTGCTGGAGTAAGCCGCGCGATGGAAGCTGGTCTCGGGGCGGCCGCACCTGAACGAGCGGGGGATAAGCGCACCTGACCGAGGCGCACCTGAGAAGGCGGCGAGGAGGACTAGAACGGGTAGTAGCAGCCGGCGAGTCATGGCTGCGGTGGGAGGAAGCCGCGCGGTGGGAACTGGTCTCGGGGCGCGAGACGAGGCGCGAGGCGGCCTTGCGAGGCGATGGCACCCAGACGAGCTGCTTTTAATCGAAAGCTGCACCTAACGTGAAATGCGCTTCTGAAGTGGAAGCTGTTTCGTAAATCCAGAAGCTACTTTTGCTCAACATTTAGTGGGGAGAAATGATCGCGGCGTGCTTATGCTGGACTTCGAAACGCCAGTGATGGACGGGTCGCATGAATCAGGGTTTCGCGAATGTCGGACGGAATCTATCACACAACGGGGGTTGATGGCTTGAAGCAAACTGGAAGGGATTGGAGTGGAGGAGAGACCTTGTCGCGGGGTTGGGTTGTTGTTGGTTGGGTTTCTGCAGGGATGGGGTGGTTGCACAGATGGGAGAGTAGGGCGCAAATCGACGACAGGAAGCAACGAAATGTGGGCGCAACGCGGCTAGGCTGAATGGTGTGGATGACGGCGAGATGCGAGAAAAGGCAGGGGAAGGTGGAACTGTACTCGAGTTGATTGCATGTTTGGGCGTCGCGTAGAAGGAATGGTTGGTTGGGCTGGTCATGAAGAGGGGCAGCCGAAATGTCCGACGGCTGGGATGGAAAGCGAAGGAAGATGGGAAACACCCGTTGGGCGAGAAGAAACGGCGGCGACAAACACGGTCCGAGTGCGGAAAGTTATTCGTGTACAGTATACACTATTTCAAAGAAGCCCGTTGGAAGAGAAATGCAGCCCCAGCAATTTGTGGTTCGTGACGTCCTCATGTCCGGTCCGGTCTGGTCTGGTCCGTTTGTCGAATTGAAAAAAAAAATCGGGACTAGCGAGCGACGGCAAATTTTGTTCGCAATGAGGTAGTTGGGTGGGTGGGTAGTGGTGCTTCAACGTCTATCATGATTCATGAAATTCGCGCCTGCGAAGTGATTGATTGAAATTGTCGCACAAGCGATTCGGCATGAAAATGTTTCCGCCGTCGTCCCAACTAGGACAACCGTGAGTGTAAAGAATTGTCGGTGATTCGCTCTGAAGACTGTTTGGGGAGAAGTGACATGTAACCGTCGACAGAAAATTTCGCAACGCAGAAACGCCATTTACAATTAGACTCGGCATTAGGGTCGTAATTCAAGGAGACTCACCATTAAACGCCATGTCCGAAGAAAATAAGAAATACTTCTGCAAAATGATCAACACATAGCAGCTTCAGGTCATTTCTAGTATAATTTTCAACAGAAAAAATAGAAAGAAAATAATTATATTAATTTTTCAGGATATATATATAATGTAATGAGAATGGAAATTATTCATACCTTCAAACATGAAGCTACTACTAGAGGTGGAACGAAACGTCTAATAGCACTACAGTCTTCTTATAACGAATCAATGCTTTGGCATCAGGGTATCGCTGCAACACAGCCTCCAGGAAAATGTCATTTCCTCAGCGGACCGCAATCTCCGAAACCGTATGTTTTTTCTGGTAGGGAACTCTCCGACCGTGGGAGATTTCCGTTTCGAAACTAGGGTAGCGCCACGCAATCCTGCAATTTACTGGGTGGTCAGGTGGTTACCCTCAAAGGCTACAAGACAGGATTTAGCCCAGAGGGAGCATGAAAACGACCAGTAACCCCCGAACCGAGAGGGCCGATTGCACTCTTCTTTAGCTGATGCGGAACACCCGACGGTGTGAACCAATGGACAGGAATCGTCAGTGCCAGAGATCAGCTCTCTATGGGTTGCTGAGAGCTTCGTTTAGATTAGCACGGGTGGAGTGGAAGCACTGACACTCAAAATGGTGGTTCGGTACACGATTAATGAGTGTTAAAAAACGGTAAATCGCACACCCTCAATACTTTCTAGCGCCTCGAGATTGGTTTCGCATCTCTTTGTCATTGGTCGGCGCGGTTGCTGCCATTGCCAATGTGTCCCGCTTGTCCCATGCCCCCCCTTGAGATTCCTTACCGTGCTGGACTCCTCTTCCCTCCCGTACGCACCATATCCCTCCCCACCTCACCTCACCCCACCCTCCCTCGCTTTCTGCCTCCCTTTTGCTGCACAGCACACCCCATTTTGTTCCCTCGCGGCTCCCCTCCTCCCCTGCTCTTCTAACTATGGCTCCTCCAGACAAGTTCTGATTTTCAAGAAACTGTTTCTGGCTTGCTTGGGATTTCCCAGCTGACGTCCCGTCAAACACGTTTACTTCTCAACATAAACCTCGCAATATTTATTGTCCGCCATAGCCGTTGTTTAATCATAGCGTGCGGCTGCATCCGCTTTTCAGCTTTGACAGTCCACGAGATCCGTCCACTGCTGACGGCGTTCCTTCCGAAGCAGAGTCTGCTCTGAGGGCGCACTTTGACAACTGACCGAACGACGAGCCTTTGTTTTAGGAACTCGGGCTCGGCGCAAATGACGGCTGCGCCATCTTTACACGGTTTTAGGATGAACCGACGGCTTTCAACAATAATTTTGCTTGCAGCCGCCGTTTCTATCGCTGCGCAAATACAGACAGTTTCATCACAAGGTACTACTAGCTATCGTTTTTCGCTACTCGGTAAAGCTTATTGTTTCTCGCTCGTTCAAGTATCTCAGAGGCAGAAGCCTTCCCGAGTTTGCAACTTCGAACGTAAGAAATGTCACATGCCGGTCAGAATATTTTTGAGTCGATTAAGAATTGTTTGTCAGTTCGTGCGTAAAAAAGGATCACATGCCGGTCGAATTCTGTGTTGGAAAAATCGCATGATACCGTTGAACTCGGGGTGTGCGATGAACACGTCGAGCTACAAGTGTCAGACGAAACTCTGGTTGAAGTGTTAAGCTCGCGCCGCGCGATTCCGGGTTTCTTCAGTATGGTTCCTCCTATTTTTCAAAATATCATATGGTATGCTTAGAAAGTTCCGATCCCGTATTTCTTCCAATCCTCGTTCCTCCGGCTTTTCCGAAGAAGCTTTTCCGTAATTAGTGTAACTCATCTTCTCGTATCCTTTACTATAAAGCCCCGTTGAGGCACTTCCAACCCGGATCTTTGAATCGACTAAAAACAACTATTGGTGCTAGTAATAGCTTCCTCTGTTCCCATTGCTTCCCCCGCAGCGTACAACCCTTGTACGGATAGCCCGTGTGGCATCGGCGGCACGTGTAGCTGGGACACTCAATACACGTGGACGTGTTCGTGCTATAGCGGGTACGCGGCCTTCACCACTTCATTCGACTTGTCCGGCATAACCGTCTCCGGGCAGACGTGTGTTTGTAAGTCCGTGTACCTGGGACAGTGATTGTACTGAAACGAGCTTGTGCAATAGCGGGTACACCATCTCGTTCCACTTGGCCGACGTAACTGTCTCCGGGCAAACGTGTGTGTAAGTCGTGTATCTGGGAAAGTGGCTGTACTGAGTCAAGATCGTGCTAGTGCTGTATCGCGTACGACCATTCATATAGCTGTGAGATGAGAAAAAGCACATATTTTGTTTCGCTCGCCTTTTCACGCTCTTACTAAGTCTCACCCCCCCGCTTTCCATCCTCTGTCCCCAGCCGCTTCCCCCATCCACGATTCATTGAACCACTCATCCTGTCCTCTCTCCACTCTTCTCCTCCTCCCCCTCTCTTCTCCTTCACCCCCTCATGCCCTCTCTGCTCTTCACCCGATGCCCTTCCTCCTCACTACCCTCCCTTGTCTCACCCTTTCTCCTCTGTCTCCTGTCTCCCTCATCCCCGTCCCTCCCTCCCCCACCCTCCTCTCCCCCTCACCTCCATTTCCCCCTCCTTCCCCCAGCTTCAAGCTCCTCCCCTTCTTACTCCTCCCCATCCTACTACTCCTCCCCATCCTACTCCTCCCCCTCCCCTCCTTCCACCAACTCCTCCTCCTCCTCTTCCTCCTCGGGTCTGTCCACAGGAGCAATAATAGGCATAGTGGTGGGCGTGATTCTGCTGCTGCTACTGCTCGGGGGAGTCGGTCTCTTCCTCTGGTTCAGGCACAAGAGCAAGGCCAGTGGGGCTGATAAGCCTGGCCAGGCGTACGGGGGAACTGCGGCAGTAGGGGCTGATCTAGAGGCGAATAAGGGGTATGCTAACCCGTATTATGCGGGCGGGGGGGGCGGAGGCGGAGGGGGAGGCCTTGGGGGAAGTGGAGGCGGGAGCGGGGGGTGGGGAGGTGGGGGAGGGGGGAGCGGGGGGAATGGCATGGCGGCTCCTGTGGCAGGGGGATACGGGGGATCGGGAGGGGCAGGAGGGGGAGGAGCAGCAGCATATGGGGCGGCAGCAGCAGGAGCAGCGGGAGCGTATGGGGCGGCAGGGGGGGGATATGCAGCAGCAGCAGGGCCTCAGGCGGGGATGGGATCTGGGTCTGGGTCTGGGAACGTCATTCACCCCATGTACATGGGAAGTGAGTATGCTTCATCCCTCTGTGCGCCATGCATCATGACCCATGCCCCATACGCTGGGAACTATGCCCCATGCCCCATGAACCATGACCCATGGCCCATACGCTGGGAACTATGCCCCATGCCCCATGAACCATGTCCCATGCCCCATCTATGACCTATGACCCAGGATCCACGACGCACATCCCCACTGTTCTCCCTTCCCGTCTCCATGCTACTATCTAAGTCTCAAACCATGACTTTGTTCAGTTTACTCAAGGTGACTTTTGAGTCGACTCAAAAGTCTTCCCACAGTTCGCCCTTCCCCTCTCCATGCTACTATCTAATGTCATGGGGAGCATCACCATGAGTTTGTTAACTTTGCTCAAGCGAGCTCTTTTCAGGCGCCTCAAAAGTAGTCCCTTCTCCTCTCCATGCTACCATCTAATGTCTAGAACCATGACTTTGTTTAGTTTCCTTTCCCTTCACTAATTCTCCACCTCCTCCACTTCATAACTCCTCATATTCGTCCATCCAGGTGGCATGTACCAGCAGCAGCAGCCACATCAGCATGCCAACGTGGCACAGCAGCAGCAGCAGCAGCAGCAGCAGCAAGCAGCAGCCTTCCAATCACCTCCGTCCGTCTGTCAGCAATTCGCCCTTGCTGACCTGGCGCGGGCCACGGGTGGCTGGGCAGAGAGCAACCGGATTGGCAGTGGGAGCTTTGGTGACGTGTATAAGGCTGTCAGTCCCTTCGATCCCTCTGTGCTGTGGGCCGTGAAGCGAGCGCGCGTGCTGACAAAGGACTTTCAGCGAGAGGTGAGCAGCACAGTGGCTAGGGTGAGCACACTGTACCCAGCAGCACCGTACTGCACCCACTCCGAGACGTCTCAACACATGCCTGTACAGGGCTGTCAGTCCCTTCGATCCCTCTGTGCTGTGGGCCGTGAAGCGAGCTCGTGTGCTGACAAAGGACTTCCAACGAGAGGTGAGTGCTCTGCACCCAGAAAACACCACACCCAGCAACACCGCATATGCACCCGCAGCACCGCACCGTACCCAGCTTCGAGTCATCTCAACACGTGAGGTGTACAGGGCTGTCAGTCCCTACGAGCTTTCTGTGCCGGGGGCCGTGAAGCGAGCTCACATTCTTGCTAAGGAATTTCAAAAGGAGGTGTGCTGCGTGCACTGCACCCAGCAGCACCGCACAGGACCTGGATCCGTGCGTGGGGGAGGGATTGCACCATTTGCTGCAACCCGGTGCCCCCACTTCACACCCGCGAATCCCTGTCCCATCCTCCCCATTCCAGGTGGCAGCGATGGCAACGAAGCACCATCCCAACCTGGTGCGTCTTCTCCGCTACTGCATCCACATGAACCCAGCAGCACCGCACTGCACCCCTGCTCCCCTTCCTCCGCTTCCTCCCTCTTTTACTCCAGGTGGCAGCCATGGCGACAAAGCACCACCCCAACCTGGTGCGGCTACTCGGCTACTGCATCGATATGCACCCAGCAGCACCGCACTCCACCCAGGGCGAACTGAGCATGGAGCAGATAGTGGTGTACGAGTTCATGGCCAACGGGGACTTGGAGCGGTGGGTGGGGGAGGGGGCGGCACAGCCGCTGGCGGTGGCGCAGCGCGTGGCGGTGCTCATCGGGGCGGCCCACGGTATCGAGTATCTGCACAGCTTTGGCATCGTGCACCGCGACATCAAGCCCGCCAACATCCTCCTAGATGACAAGCTCGAGGTGAGCAAGCTAGCGCCTTTCCTAAGGGCTACGCCCTGCCCCCTTGCACAACGGTGGGGGACACTCACATCATGGGCACACCCTTGCTCTACCTTCTCTCTCTCATGCGCCTCACACTCCCTTGCCTTGCATGTTATCCCCATGCTCACCTCCCAATGCCTTACACCCCCTTGCCTCCAGGCCAAGGTAGCGGACTTTGGGTTGCTGAGGCAGAACGAGGGCACGACGGTGGGAGACACTCGCATCATGGGCACACCGGGTTATGTGGACCCCGCTTACTTCAAATCCAACAAGGCCACCCCCATGGCCGATGTGTACAGGTACAGAGCGGTACAGAGTGGTGCAGTGCGGTACAGCGGTGTATTGAGCGGTGCAGCATGGTGCAAACCGGTATTGTTCTGTGAGGAAGAGTGCATGGGAGTGTGGTACAGAGTGGTGCAGTGCGGTACGGTGTATTGAGCGGTGCAGCGTGGTGCTAACCGGTATTGCTCTGTGAGGAAGAGTGCATGGGAGTGATGGGCACACCGGGCTATGTTAGCCATAGCCTTGCCTCTCCAGATATCAGATATGGTCTTCTCACTTTCACTTCATCTCGCTCTCCACTCCTTCCCACTCCTTCCCATCCCTCAGCTTTGGCATCCTCAATGTCCGGCCACTCCTTCCCATTCGGACCACAATGTCCGGCCAAAACGCTCTCAGGCCGGATAAAAACGGCAACAATTTCAGCATCAGGAAATAGGTGGATTGTTTATTAGGAACAACTGAACTACCGCTCCTCACCCCTTCCACACCTCCCCATCCCCCCAGCTTTGGCATCCTCATTCTGACCACAATGTCGGGCAACAGCGCTCTCAGCGCGGATGGTTTTCGGGCTGACCCTACTGCTCTCCACTCCTTTCCACACCTCCCCATCCCCCCAGCTTTGGCATTCTCATTCTGACCACAATGTCGGGCAACAGAGCTCTCGAGGCGGATGAGAACGGCAACAATTTCAACGTCAGGAAGTGGGTGAGTTTTTATGCTCCTGGCGCCTCAGAAGTTTAGGCGCCCCAAAATCTTTGAGGCGCCTCAGAGACCACAATGCACTTAAAGCTGATGAGTACGGCAACAATTTCAACGTCAGGAAATGGGTGAGTTTTGATGCTCCTGGTGCCTCAGAAATTGCAGTGCCTCGAAAGTTTTGAGGCGCCTCAAAGGGAACAATGCACTCAAAGCGGATGACAGCAACAACTTCAACGTCAGGAAATGGGTGAGTTGACCAGCGACATGGGGAAATACGGGATTTGGCTAATTTATCATGCGGAGGAGGGGGAGAGGGGGGAGGATAAAATTTAGCCGAGGAGCACATATGGAGGAGGAGTTTTGCAGTTAGGTAAATACTCTGGGATGATTAACTTGCCTGTGTAATTTCAACCACCATGCCAAGCAGGCACCACCTGTCTGCTTCCTCCATTGGTATTGTATGTGATGATTGGAATTTAAATATATATCCCTCCCTCCTATCCCCCGTCCCTCCTCCCCCCCCTTCCCCTCACCCCTCTTGTGAACCCTTCCCATCCAGGCGGAGTCGTTAGTTGCGGCTGGTAAAGCGGAGGAATTAAAAGACCCACGATTGGACGCCCAGGCAGATTTGATTCTACGGCTGGCGCAGCTGGCGCTGCGCTGCACGGCCATGCCGACCGTGTCTCGTCCTGACATGATCCAGGTGGTATCTGAGCTCACGGCACTCAGGAAGGAATATCTGGGGAAGGTGTCATCTAGGATGGCTGAGAGGATTGACGAGGAGGTGGAGTCCCAGAGAGTTGGGAATTTCAGTGCGGAAATAGCGATGATTGAAAGGCTGGCGTTTCAGGATAGCACCAGCGCAATGAGCATTCGCTAAGGAATTGAGTGAAGCAGGTCCCAATAGGCTATGCTTGTAGCTGTGGTGATAGGAAACATTTGCTTTGAAGCATTATTTTCAAACTCAGCAAGGTCATTTACCATTGTTCGTTTACATCTGACTGTAATGAAGCCGTCGATTGCAAGACCAATATGCTGGCCATGAAAAACTATTTTGTGATTGGAGACATGACGTCAATCTAGTCAACCTAGTCCGAGCTCAGGAATCCTTTTTTTTTTATTATTTGCTTTGCTTCGCCAAGCACTTAGAAGTCAAGCAAAACTTCTCCAACACAAGCTGTTCTCACAATACTTAAAGCCGCGGTGCAGATATCCGGGCTCCAGTTCAAACTATTATAGTTTGAAAGCCGCGTAACCCAGTATACACAGGAAAGCGAGCAGGGAGAGGTTTCTGCCAGCGGGGGAAGGGCGTGCGGAAAAGTCCTTCGCAGTATGATGTGTGTGGGGGGGAAACGGGGGAGGGCTCGGGGAAAAGCTCCGCTCAACGATTTGAGGGGGAGCGCATGCAGCAAACTTGAAAATTCAAACTTGAACTCAAAACAACTCAAACTCGGCAAACTCTCACGCTTGAACTAGGTTCTTACTAACTTGAAGTGCGTTTTCCGAGCTACGCAGAGCCATTTCCGCTAAGATTTCTCGCGTTTCATGGTCTATTGATGTGCTCACGAATATCTGCGCAATTTCCTACCTCGTAAACACCTTTTTGTCGTATTCGAAGCGCATTGCGCTCGTTTTCCTCCGTTGCCGTCCTTATTCCTCTCCCGCCCCTCCATTCCTCACGTATCTGCGGTAGCAAAGGCGCAACGGTAGCGACAGGCAGGAATGGGTGCGACGGTGGCGAGCAGCGGGGCGACGATAGCGAGCGGTGCGGCGACGATAGCGAGCAGCGGGGCGACGATATGAGCAGCGGGGTGACGATAGCGAGCAGCAGGGCGACGATAGCGAGCACCAGGGCGACGATAGCGAGCTCCAGGGCGACGATAGGGAGCATCAAGGCGACGATAGCGACAACCAGGGCGACGATAGCGAGCTCCAGGGCGAGGATAGCAAGCACCAGGGCGACGATAGCGAGCAGCGGGGCGAAGCATCTGTGCGACGGTGGCGAAGCATCTCGCGTCCCCCTCCATATTTATTCCTCTCCAATGCCTCCCCCTTTCCGATCCCTTGCCCGGTCCTCAGCATCAACTTCTCTTGGGCAGTGCCCTCCCTGTTTTCCTCTCCCTTTCCCCCTGTCCTCCTCTCCCTTTCCCCCTGTCCTCCTCTCCCTTTCCCCCTGTCCTCCTCTCCCTTTCCCCCTGTCCTCCTCTCCCTTTCCCCCTGTCCTCCTCTCCCTTTCCTCCTGTCCTCCTCTCCCTTTCCCCCTGTCCTCCTCTCCCTTTCCCCCTGTCCTCCTCTCCCTTTCCCCCTGTCCTCCTCTCCATTTCCCCCTGTCCTCCTCTCCCTTTCCCCCTGTCCTCCTCTCCCTTTCCCCCTGTCCTCCTCTCCCTTTCCCCCTGTCCTCCTCTCCCTTTCCCCCTATCCTTCTCTCCCTTTCCCCCTGTCCTCTCCATTTCCCCCTGTCCTCCTCTCCATTTCCCCCTGTCCTTCTCTCCCTTTCCCCCTGTCCTCCTCTCCCTTTCCCCCTGTCATCCTCTCCCTTTTCCCCTGTCCTCCTCTCCCTTTCCCCCAGTCCTCCTCTCCATTTCCCCCTGTCCTTCTCTCCCTTTCCCCCTGTCCTTCTCTCCCTTTCCCCCTGTCCTTCCCTCCCACCTTTCCTCCCCCTCTCTCACATCCCTTCCCTTTCCTACTGTCCTCTCCCACCATTCACGCTTCTCTCAGCCATCCCTTTCCCCCCTCCCCTGCCCCTCGCCTTCCCCCACTACCGTCCCTTCCCTTTCCACTACGTTCTCTCGTTCAATTCAGCCAACAGTACCAGCTTTGCTTGGCCACTGAAGGCTGTCTATCATATCTCAGTTTCCATGCTCTCTTCAATTTCCCTACCTAACATTCTTCAATAATGCGCAACGTTTCCTTCCCCTTTTCCCCTCCCCCCTCCTCCCTGTAAATGGACAGCTGCACCAATAGTGGATCGGAGTGTAAAAATCGGCTCTCCTTGGATTATGCCATGTTGTTTGCTTGAGATCCTTTGCATGATAAGAATTTCAATATGACATTCCAAGTCTTGCAGGTCTGTACAGTTGATGTTCTCTCTCCCCATTAGAATTAATACTCTTGCAAATGGATGGATAAATAAACCAAAATAAACCTTGTAAGTGAAATATGTATTTTGCAAAGTTTTTATGAAACATAAGGTTTATCGTTTTGCAATGTGGAGGTGTTATTGGCAGAACAATCAGCGAAAGGGAGTATGGGGGTGTTGATGTGGTCCCATTTCCCGTTTCGTGTGTGTTCCCCCCTTCCCTTCCCCCCACCCCTTCCCCCCCACTTTTCCTTTCGAGGTTCGCGACATTCGCCTTGGATGTTTTCATCGCAACACAACTTACACACTCGCTAGCCAATTGACTACCAGTACGGAACAAGACAAAACCCGGCTTGTCACTGTTCCTAAGATAGTTGCACCGCGGCTTTAATAAAGCAGATGATCAAAGTTCGTGTTGTTATGAGTTCGGTGTTCGGTTTCCAAAGCAACAATCACACGCAATTCACGGTCACTGTCGGCAAGTAACGTTGTGGGGCACGAGTCGCATGTATAAAATCTGAGATCGCATACATTTTTGTGAAGTCGCAGGTGAGAATAGAGTGGTCTATAATTGAGCGTTGCGAGACGCAGGTGGTGAAATCTGCCGATTCGTGTGCTGTGCGTGACCCCACACCCATTTGTCCGTAGTGCTGTTACTAGCCAGTGTTACTGGCCACACTGTCTTTGGTGGTTGCAAGCTCTCCACAGCTGGCGACGTCGCACGCCTCTTCCATTCAATCAGAAACCGCGTGGACCATGCGTCAACTCTTCCTCAAACCTGTCAGCCTCCAGGCCACGTCCGCGCACCAATCCCTCGTCTTCGCGGAGCAAAAAAAGTGATCATCACCGTCAGCACCGATACACCCTAATGCTCACTCAACCGCCCACTCTGAACACGCCCGCTGCCACTCCATACGCCCAGTGGTCGACATTCACAGCCAACGGCCCGCGCGTTACTAGCCCACGACAAAACCAAGATGTTCGAGTTTCCCAGACAAAACACGCTGGGCTACCCACAATTTCCGCAACTGTAGTTTTTTTGTCAACCTTTGTTCTACATTCAGTCCCATTCTGCCCCTAGTGAACGCATGCTCGAGAGAGGAGCACAGGGAAAGATGGGGAAGGGGACTGAAATGGGCATCATGTGTAATGTGCGCGCCTCGATCATTCATGTAAGCCGTCCACACGGAGAGCCAATTGAAATGCGCCGTGAGCTGCGCTAGCAAGATCGTTCGTGGAATCTCGGGAGGTGCGCACAGACGTTTTTCGTTCGCTCGCACCCTTCGCCCGTACGGCAGGCGCACAATTATTCCCGCATCGCAGATTGGACCGATTCTCGTCCCCCCTGGAAAAACACTCGGCGCAGGAAGTGCAGCGCCTCATTCAAACTCCCCCTCCCGACCGTCCACTGTCTCCGTTTCGCAGGTAAACGACCTTCACACCGCCAGTCACGCTGGAGCGAAAACTGGCGACAAACGATTCTACTCCTCCTCACCCCCCTCCACGCTCGCACCTCCACACCGCGAGACGAAGTGTCCAGCTGTCTGCTTGAATTCGCAATACTTTTCGCCCAGCGAACTGTGCTCGTCGCGGGGTTTAGGAAGGAGAAGAAAGTGGTGGTGAACGGTCGACTCCATCCCTCCCCTACGTTCTGCACACCTCCGCAGGAGCAGTGCGACAAGCGTGCGCGACTACTGTTCCCCCTCCTGACACCAACGATCACCAACAGAACGAGGCGCACATGACACTTCCCCATCACGCGCGTTTCCTCCCACCCTCCCTCGCGCGCGACAGCGAGTGTGGGTGGGTGGGACGGTGGGTGGAGACCGTCCGTCAATCGATCACAGTGAACAGTTGCACCAACCAGCTCCGCCGACGTTCGAGACGAGAAACGGTGGGTTGTTTGTTCCCCCTGATTCCTGCACCGGCCGTCGCTTTTCAGCAGTTTCACACGGCAATAGACCCGCAGGCCAATGCGCTTGCATAAAGTGCAGACCCCTCCCCCATTCTCGAGGACAACGAAAGCATTCCTTCCAATTTCCTACCTACCAACATTTTCTGCTGGCCCGAATATCCCACCCATTTAGCAAAATTGCAACCAAGTACTGAAAAGCTCAAAATAGTTCGGCCTCCCCACCATCATCAGAGCTCTTCGCGTTACTAGATCGTAGTCGTTAGATCGTCTTACATTTGAGGCTTTATCCTCCCGTAGCTCACGACGTTCAATATGGCCGCTCCCAACTTCCGTAGCGCATCTGTTTCCGCTCCCCAGACCCGCCAGGTCTCCCCTCCGCCTAGTAGGTTCGGCGCATCTTGCGCTCCCCCCTTGCGCCAGAACTCGCTCGACAGCTTCCGCGCCAAGGTCAAGCCGCTCGTGATTGCGCGCCCCGCCACCGCTGACGAGGCGCCCGGCGAGCGCCATCCTCTAGAAATCTGGGAGATTAACTACGACGAGATTTTCCCCAACTCCGCGCGCCTCGCGAAGCAGTTCGCCGAAAAGTCGCTCAAGCTGTCCAGCCCGCCCGTTCCCATCGCCGCATCACCCGCCGCATCATCCGTCGTACCATCAGCGGCTTGCGCTTCCGCTGCGCGGACAGCGCCCCAGCAGCTCACTCCCCGCGATCGAGTTTCTGAGGCGCTCCCGTCGCTGTCCCCCGTCGTTGACAATTCTAGCCCGCTTTCCGAGCTCGCCTCCCCACAATCTCCCCCCAGCATCACCATCCCCGCGCGCGCGCTCGACGATTTCACCTCCCCCCCGTCGTTCCCCCAGCTGCGCGCGCGCATGCTCGGTTGCAAGCTCGGCACGCCTTGCATCGTGTCGCTCGCGCGCACGCCCGGCGATCCCGGCGCGTGGGACGCCGACGACGAGGAGTACGAGTCGGAAGAGAGCACCCGGCGGCGGTTCCGCCGCTCCGGTAGCACCGGCGGAAGCCGCCACTGGGTTGGCGAGAAGGTGGGGGCAGGCGCGGAAGGCGGAAATTACAAAGAGCGCGCGCGGGGCCCGTCTCCGCTGTCCGGGCGAGTTGTGGCGGGGAGTTGCGGGAGCCCGCAGCGGCAGCAGCACGGTACGGGAAGGGTACTCGTCAAGCGCTGCTCCGATCCCGTTATGAGGAGTCCCAGAGAGGTGCCGAATCATGAGTCACGATTGCAGCAGGTTCGGGATGCCGAACCTGAGTCTCGGCACCGGCTGGCTCGAACAAGCAGCAAAGCCTCGGAAACGTCGGTGCGCAGCTCCTCCGCCGGCCGGCGACGACGGTCGTGCGGACGGTTTAGCGAGTCCGCAAGCGTGGGTTCGCAGAGAGTTCGCATGACGGTGCGGTTTTACTCTGACCTGCTCGATCCGTGCGTGATTGGCGCGCTGGCTGCGCCTTGCGCCACTGCTGCGAGCTCCGCGCGCCGGGAGCATAAGTCCCCCATCCGCGGAACCCAGAGCGGAGGAGAGGGAGAAGGGAAGCGCCGCGTGGGCGGAAATAGCGGGGGAAGCAGTGGGCGCGCGGCTGGCGGAAGCCTACAGAGCCCTCTTTGCGGAAGGGGTTCCCGCGGAGGGGTTGTGCGAGGGGGGTTAGCTGCGGCGGCAACCGCGGCTGCTGCTGCGACTGGCCCCTGTCGCGTTGTGTCGCTGTGTTGAAGGCGAAACCGATATCCGCGTTTGAAGTGACAACCCAGCAGGCCCATTGAATCTACAGCTGCAATTTCTTCTTCATCGACATATTAATTCATTTTTTTGAGTTACAACCATTCTGTAACTCGTAAGACTGACTTCCATTTAGGACTCATATCTGCACATCTTGACCTGTACAGCACTGTGCAGAATACCATTAGGAAGCATTCGTACACGCTGTATAGAGTGCTGACTAGATGGTAGATTTTTATTAGATATAGAAGATAGCCATCATTAGTAGCATTTGTTTTAAGTGCACTTTCCCAACTCTTTTCACCCCCGGGAAACTGCTGTGAATAAGAGTGCACAGCTAAAATCGTAATACAGCGGGTGGACTTACAGAATGAACAGCACTCATTCAGCAACTAGATAGTGCGTGTCAAAGTAAGGAGGTACTTAGGTTTAGGATGCCTAGGCTTAGGAGCCTAGGCAAGGAGGGTATCGAGTAGGTTGTGCCAAAGGATAGCGAGAATGGAGGGCTTCACTATAGGAAAAACAGAACATATAGGAGAAAGTGTTAAAGTTTAAAAGAAAGAAGAGGGATGCACTAGCAAGAATGGGGATACAAATAGCAAAACCCTATAAGAGTTGTACTTGCTATAGAGCACCCCACTACAGGCTAGAGCATAATATTCTGACACACCCCCATAGCCAAAGTGGGGTGTAATCAGCAGAGCAAGCAAAAGAAAACAAGCTCAGGGTGGATCACAATGTCACCACACATTCTGAGCACAAGTACAAGAGGTAGCAGTTTTATAGTTAACAAATGTAAGCAAAGCTAGAGGCTATCACAGAGGGCAAGTGAGGAGGAGGAGAGACTGTGGGGGAGAGAAGATGGGAGGCGACTGCTGACGCTGCAGACACACAGACGAGCTGCTGGCTCAGTGGCTACCGGAACAGCGCTCCGGACTACTGGGGTAACTGGCCCCGCGGCTAAAAGTAGCGGCAGACGAGCAACGGACCCACGGGCGACTGGCGACTACCGGAGATTGTAGCCTCCGGACTGCTGCTGCTGCTGACGACACGACGACCGCCTCCATTCAACCTCCCCCAACTGTCCCACCCCCATTTCACACACCCCCTGTTCAAACCCTAGCTCTACTCACACTCCACCCCCCTAGCACCACTCCGTACACTCCCACACATCCACCCCCCTCAGCGACAGCTGCAGCAGTGGGAGACGAAGGAGGAGGAGGAGCAGGCGACGCCACACACCCGCCACTCCCCAACCGCCACCCCCCAACCGCCACCCCCCAAACCCTAAAAACAGGGTAGGGAGGTAGGGGGGGGGGGCAACGCGCGGCCCCCTGCGGCCCCCCCCAGGGCGCCGCGACGGGCGACGGGAGTTGGGCCGGGGCAGGTCGGGGCCGGGGCAGGTCCGGGACGGGGCGGGGCAGCAGGGGCCGCGCAAGGCTCCCCTGGGCAGCGCGACGGGGCAGCAGGGCCGCGCGACGGGGCAGCAGGGGCCGCGCGCGGCTCCCCTGGGCGGCGCGACGGGGCTGCAGGGGCCGCGCGACGGTGCGACGTGCGGGTCCCCGTCGCCCGTCGCAGCGCCTCCCGGGGGCGACGCGGCGAGTGACGGGGCAGAAACCCGTCGCGCGCCTCGGGGCGCACGGCGGGTAGAAAACCGCCGCGCGCCTCGGGGCGCACGGCGGGCAGAAAACCGCCGCGCGCCTCGGGGCGCACGGCGAGCAGAAAACCGCCGCGCGCCTCGGGTCGCACGGCGGGAAGAAAAACTGCCGCACGCCACGGGGCGTGCGGCACAGAGAGTAGCAGTAGCAGTTGCAGCGGAAGCAACAAGGTGGTGAGCCCACCCACAGGATCGATCCAAGGGGATCGACCTGCTCTGATAGCATGTTAAAGTTTAAAAGAAAGAAGAGGGATGCACTAGCAAGAATGGGGATACAAATAGCAAAACCCTAGAAGAGTTGTACTCGCTATAGAGCACCCCACTACAGGCTAGAGCATAATATTCTGACAGAAAGGAGGGGAGGTGCACCACCAACACAAGAAGCATATAGCTACACTAGGATCAACTGTAGGCAGGTATATAAATGTAACAAATACATTTCAACAGTGCGCTGCAACCAAAAAAGCTTGAACAACACTTCAACTTTACAGGCACGTTGGCCTGAGGGGTTATGCGCGCACTTACCCGCTACACAAACAAGCCCTTTTATCCCAGTAGTCTAGTGGCTAGGATTCTGTCATGGTATCAGAGCGAAGGTCTCGGGTTCGAATCCCAGTGTGTGCACCTCGGGCATCCGAGTGCGGGGGGGTGTCAGAGATCCACTGTTGATCCCCGATTGTGTCAAAACATATGCATATTTGTATCTAGGCTATATTGGGGCTAGCCTTAGGGGGTACAGAAACATTCTCGACACTCTAGTCTTGTACCCCAGCCTTGACCTAATCTCATCATCCTTGCCTTACTCTTAAAACCCGGGGTCAGCATGGTAAAATATCAAGTTATGTGGATTTGAAATAGGCTGTATGCGAGATCCGCGAAACCAATTTCGGTTGGCTGCCTTTGGCGAGAACAACTATCCCCCGCAAACTAGTGAACATTTCGCACTCACCAAACCTGCGAATCCCACCAACCCAAAGCGACAAATGTGTCGCACACATCCCTCTCTTGGAGCATGGAAAGTGTGGCTCACTCGAAGTCTCCTCACCTCACCACTGAATCAGCTCGATGCTAACGGGAAGTAGAAAAACAGAGCAGCGCACGTATGTAAATAGCGGGTGACTCTAGGCGCCTGCTGCCCAGCTATTGGCGAGACAGCATGTGTGCCTTGGGAGTTGCTGTAAATATCACGACTCCTAAAACTAGTGCAAGGCGCACAGGCTGTCTACTTAGGTGAGGGAGTAGGCGGTTCATGAGTACGACTAGGTGTTCAAGATATGTGAGAGCCAAACAGTGGGCCAACCTGGGCGACGTTCGGTTCTTTTTTGCGACTCTGCTAAAAAACCAATGAGGAGAGAGTGTCGCTCGGCGTTGTCCCAGGGTCGCGATAGTTTTAGACAGAGAAATAGGGTAACCCTGTTTTTTACAAATTCAAGTTCAAGAATCTTGAACTTGAAAAAAACCATGCTGTACTCGGGCTTTAACATGGTAACTAGAGCAGGAGGTCTCTAGGACCTAAGAATAGGGCCCACCCGTAACTGTGTTACCTCACCTATTGCCTGCCTTGCCTACTACTCGTGCGCGCCTCGGCTGCTCGCGCGCGCGCGTCATTTTTTTTTTTTTTTTTTTTTTTTTTTTTTTTTTTTTTCGCGCGCGCCTCGGCTGCTAGCGCGCGCGTCACTTTTTCGCGCGCGCCACTACTGCAGCGCCGCGCGCCGGCCCACGTCGCCCGCGCAGCCCGCGTCGAGCCCGCGCAGCCCGCCACCGCACGCAGCCCGCCGTCGCGTGCAGCCCGCCGTCGCCCCGCGCGCCGCGTCTGTCGCCAGCGCGGCCCGCCGCCGCGCCGCTCGCCGCGTCCGCCGCCCGCGCGTCACGTCGGCCGCCTGCGCGGCCCGCTGCTGCCTAGCGCACTGCTTTAGGAGCTCGCGTGTGGCCGCTACTGCCTGCTGCCTACTGCCTACTGCCTACTGTCTCCTGCCTGCTGCCTGCTGCCTCTGTCCTTGCTTGCGGCCTGGTGCCTACTGGCTCTTGTCTGCTGCCTGCTGCCTACTGCCTTTGCCTACTGCCATTATGACGACGCCTAACGTTCTCGCGTTCGAGAGTGACGGTCGCCCCATAGAGTTCGCTGTGTGGTTAGACGACCTCCAACTGTTCCTTCTGACCGATGCCAAAGAGGGCGTTTCACTGTTCGATTACGTGTCTGGCACTGCCGTTGCTCCTGCTGCCGATGCTCCTGCTCTCGAACGCTCGCAGTGGCAGACTCGCGATGCTGCTGCACGCCTAGCTATTAGGAACCATCTGCCGATTACTGAGCGCGGGCATTTTAGCCAGCACAAAACTGCTAAGAAGCTGTATGACGCTGTAGTTGCGCGCTACTCCTCCCCGGCCACTGCAGCCATAGGTCGGCTCATGCTACCTTACCTGTTCCCCGACCTTTCCTCGTTCACGACTGCTGAGGACCTCATTTCCCACCTGCGCGCTACTGACACTCGCTTTTGTGCCGCCCTTTCAGCCGAGTTCTGCGCCGCAAACCCCCCCCCCCCCCCCGATGTACTTCACTCTCTATTTCCTCGTCACCCGCCTCCCTGATACTCTTAGCTCCGTCAGGGACCACTTCCTAGCGCTAGACCCCACCACTCTCACTGTCGACGACTTCGAGAAGCACCTCCTCGCAGCAGAGAAGAACATCCTCGCTGTAGGTGCTGCTCGTGGCACTCCTCGCCCTCCCCTCTTTGAGGGGTGCTCCCCCTCCCCTCTCACCCCCTCCTACGCCTCCGCAGCTGCTGCTCACGACTACCTTGGTGCTGAGGAGGTCGGGGCTGCTTCCGCACCTAGTGGGAAGTGTCGCAGCGGCAGGGGCGGCAAGGGTGGCAGGGGAGGTGGGGGTGGCGGTGGAGGTGGCGGTGGTGCAGGCGGCGGGGGAGGTGGAGGTGGTGGAGGTGGTCGTGGGGGTGGAGGTGGTGGAGGTGGCGGTGGGGGCGGCGGAGCCACTGGGAGCGGTGGAAGTGGCAGCAGCGGCGGTGGGGGAGGAGGGAGCGGTGGTGGTAGTGGTGGTCAGGGCCAGCAGCAGCCGCAGCAGCAGCAGCAGCAGCAGCAGCAGCGTCAACGCCAGACCCCCACTTCCCAGCAGCTTCTTGTCTGGTATGCCGGGCGTGGGGCTTCTGGGGGTCCTGGTCGCTGCCCCTATATCATTCGCACAGGTCCCCGCGCTGGTCGCCAGTGCACAGGGTTTCACACTGAGCAGCGCTGCTTCGCTCGACTTAGCGACGCCTGGCGCG